CAAGTTTAGCTAAAGTATGGTGTTGCAGCAACTCTTTGTAGCTTTTCTAGCCCTTTACACTATCTGGTGAACTTAAATATTTGAACCGAATCCTAGATTTACCATAACCTGCTTTTTGTAGGATTTTTGCCTTTTAGGGAACAGCATAGCGTGGATTGGAGAAGAGGCAGTTGATGGGGCAGAGTTAGTACTAGAACTCAAGGCTTCTCGTTTATCAAACAGCCGGATGACCCCCAGCAACACGTCCTTAGCTTCTCTTGGCCTATTCGCCATATAGTGGGAGAGAGTTCACAAGATCCTTGCTACTCCAAGTGTGGTCCGAGGATCAGTGGCAGCAGCATCACCTGGGAAACCCTAAAAAGGCACAATCTGGAACCCCACCCCAGAGCTATTGAATCTGCATGCAAATCACCTGAAGATCTTATTAAAATGCATATTCTCCTGGATTCTGGTCTTGTTTCAAAATTCTGTGCTTCTAGTTTCCTTCCGTCATTAATCACAGATGGCTCTGTACAGATATACAGGATTCACTAGACAGGCTTTGGCCTTCCCTTTGTCCCTCATTGCTTGTCACTGCTGTCGGTGACTGCCTCTCTTGGCACCACGCCTAGAGCTCTAGCAGTGTTTAGGTTGGGATTGAGACAATGGGGCCACAGGGGAGATGAGAAAGCCAACTCCACTGGCCTTTACAGAGCCTTGGGAAGCGAGCCCACAGCTGCGGGATGCCTCCTGCAAATTTGGCTGTGCTGCGCAAGTTCTAGAGGCTCATTAAAGAACAAGGAGAGAAATAGAGTCAAGCTAGATACAGGTAGTACTTGTCCATGTATTTCTAATGCGCTTCCTTACCAGAATAAGTAAATTTAAACGATGTACTCTGGAGGGTGTCTTTTGGAAAAGGAAGCTTTATGTGAGGAAGAAATTTTCTTTGGACATTGATTTTTGGAGGGAGTTTGAATGTAAACTTACCGAGATAAAAAATACTTATCCATTGACGTATTCACCATTGCAGTCCAGAGGGAACACAGCACAAAAGGATAAAAATGAGTACCTAAGGGGCTAGCCAGTTAGCTCAGCTACGAGAGTGTGCTTCTGATAACACCAGTGTCCAGGATTTGATCCCTGTACTGGCCAGCTGGCAAAAGAGAAAAAACTGTGTTCCTAAGTTAGCTGTCAGCATGGGAAGAGTCCCTGCTCATGCATGTAGACCTTCTCATTAGGTAAAATCCCCCTTTTATTTTGTGCTGTTAGGATTTGTAGGCTGTTGGTGCTTTCTGTCCCAGACCTGACCAACAGGCTAACATTGTATGAAGCATGTGATTTTCAGTGTGTTCATATAATGGCTTGCTTGGTGAAAGAAAAATATGGAAAAATGTGTGGAAAATGATAGAAAAAGCATTGAGAAAGACACAAGCCAGACCCCTCACTGTGGCGTCTACAGATAAAGGGTCTTCCTTCATGATCTAGTAGCTCTTCTTTTGCAGGGTGGAGTCTGTCCACATCAGCAAGCGTTGATGGGCTCTTTCAGCCCTAAAGTTAGAAACTATGATTTTGGGAACCCATTATTTGTCAGCTTTTATCATAAACAAAAATCTTCCCAGAAAGGTTCTTAAGACAGCAATAGACAGAAATATGTGTAAGTAGGATGTCAAAAGTCTAGAGGTGCTTTTCAGCACGGCCTTTTCAGATGCATGTGAATTAGGCAGCTGTCTTTCCATTGTGTTAGTGTTGTTGTTCTAGACTGGTCTGTGAGACTTGAAGATAGCTAAGTTCATGTCAGCCAAAAATGTGCTTTGTTTATAAACCCAGGGTTTGTTTCTGCTTTTGTGCATGTTACTGGTTTGATCTGTTTTACCAAAAGAACATTGAAAATAATGGATTGCTTTGATGAAGATTCCAGGGAAGAAAAATGACAAACAAGTGTGTATCCGCAAGAGAACATAAACAGGAATGAGTAGAACCAGAGAGACCCCACGTATTTTCCACACTTGGTACAGTGAGATGGGCAGAGAAAGTTCACTTCCAGAGTAGTTCATTCAGGAGTGCCTGAGAGACACCTCATCGCAGACAGTATTACAATCTGTTCTCTCTTTCTGTTTCTAAACTGTACAGTAATAAAAGGATGCACCTTTTTAGCACAAAAATGTGTGAAAGGTTATTTCCCCTACAATATACACAAAAGGGCATTCCTTATTCTGTTTGAGAGTTTTATGGAATTTGGCTTGTGGAGTAATCAAATAAGCCATAATACTAGACGTGGCACTTAGCTCTTTTGACCCTTGATAGGAAGCATATCTTTTAAATTCACAGGAGCATCTATTTTCTATATCTCTTTCGTGGTTATAGAATTTTACTTAAATTTTACACCTGGGCTTACTCTCAATGTCCAGCATCTATATCCTGTGACCTCAGTTGGGTAAAGTTTCCCACTTGATGTGAGGGGAATCCCTTAAAAGCTCCAGCAAGTGTAGTTGACATTGCCTTAAATTCATGTTTGCACCTTTGATCTTGCATGTTTCTGGGATCAGTTGGTAAGCGTTGGGAGGCCTGACTTTTGATTGGAAGTTTAACACTTGCCAAAGAAAAAAATTATTTCTCTAAATGTCAAGTGTGTTTCTTCAGTCAAAACGTGAAGGGAGGCGGGAAGGCAGGCCAGGAAGAAGCCAGTGCATGCTGCTGAGTAACATTTGCTTCACTTGCTATCGAAAACACTTCTCTTTTGTATGTTCACAGAGCAATATTTGTTTTAAAAGGGAAAAATCAACTTGTCAGCTATTGTTTCTTAACTGTGCTCCATCAAAGACTTTGTGGATGAAGGAAGACATTCATTTTGGGACCGGTGGCCCAGGCAGCTTGCGTGAATTCAGCCTCCTCTGGTGTCCCCCCTTCCCTTCCCGTCCTGCCATTGGCCCCTCCCAGGGTGCATATCCCGCTCCTGGCGGGTCAGCACAGGAAGCAGCCCTGTCCACACCAGGTCACGATATGGGACTACGCAGACAGCCTGAGGGTCTGCTTCCCCTCCAGACCCCACATTCACATGTCATTGCCTGTGCTTTTGTCTTTGCTGTCCCCTGCAGATCTGGAGCTTGGTGTCAGCACGCTGCCTGAACATGACAGCCAGCAGGCAGGGCCAATTGTCCCCAAGATATCGGGTCTAGAGAGAAGCCAGGAGAAGAGCCAGGACTGTTGCAAAGAGCCACCCTTTGAGCCTGTGGTGCTTAAGGACCCCTGCCCTCAGCTCCCCCAGCCAGTACCCCAGCCACAGGCCGAGCCCCAACTCCGAGCTCCTTCTCCGGACCCTGACTTGGCGCAGCGCACAGAGGTCCTGCCTCAGCCCCCACCTCCAAGTTCACAGCCACTGCAAGGTCCCCCAGAGGCCCAGCTGCAGCCCACCCCGCAGCCTCCAGCACAGAGGCCCACCCGGCTGCAGTCCCCCACCCAGCTGCTCCATCCAAGCCTCCCTGCCGTGCAGGCTCACCCCCCGTCTCAGAGCCTCCCCCAGCCACTGTCGGCCTACAACAGCAGCAGCTTAAGCCTCAACAGTCTCAGGTGAGCCAGCTGCTCCTTATTGCCTGACTTCACCCTTTTCCTTGGGACAGATGGGCCGCTGTGGGTGAGGGATTCCTAAGGACACCAGAGTTTCCTTGTTGAAAACATTGCCGTTGTTTTCTTTACAAAGCAAGAGTACAGGGAAGGGGCTGTCGGGTGAGTCTCAGGTCTCTTGGGAAAGGACAGGTAGCATTGGGTGCTAAGGGAGGACACTGAAGGACTGAAGCATCTACCTGGACTCCCGAGAGTGGGAAGGCAGGAAGGAGAATGCCTAGCACACAGGTGAAGGGCTGGGCCCAGGAGCCTACCATGGGAGGGACAACGGTAGAGGCTTAGGTGGCTCAGAGTCATCAAATGTCAAGAGGCTCTTAGAAGGGAGACCCTTTGCCTCAGAGCCAGGAAGGGTGAGGACCCGAGGAGCCTCCAGCTTGAGTTTTCTTCACTGGGCTTTACTTCCTCCCACATGGGTCAGAGAGGTAGAGAAGACGCAAGTGGGCTTAGAGGAAGAGAAGCTCCTGCATGCAGGCCCCGCTCTCTTCTGTCTTGTCTGAAGCGGTGTGGAAGAAAACTGCAGAGAAGCCGTGTGGCGCCTAGAGCAGCCACCACCTGGCTGTCCCAGGGGCTGTAACTGCGTGCCCGCATGTCTCCTGAGCTTTGCGTCCTTGTTACTGTTTTCCTTTTGAAAACCTGGTGACTTGGTGGCTCAGGGACTTGCTTTTTCCTGTCTGGGACAGGTAAGGAACAGCCTTAGGGAGGCAGGTTCCTTCCCCATGCAGTTAGATCCATCTTCTGACTCCTGGGCCATTTCTGTGGCCTCCAGACCATAGGGTGGTAAGAGAAGCCATGTGCCCGGTTTCACCTCTTACTTGTGTTTATTCATTTACGAGGTAGCAGACAGATGGGCAGAGCTCAGATCATCGTTTTCATTCCTTTCTCTTTATCGCTTAATAGGAAGCATGGCTAGTGGAGGCTGGGAGGGCTGGGGATTTTCCAGGGGCAGAGCTGAGCATCTGGCCACAGAAGCAAGAGTCCCTGCGTTGTAGGCAGAGCTGCCGTCTCCAGGGCGAGGCGTCCAGCAGCTCTGGAGCACCAGTTCCTACTTTGCTGTGCTTGCAGTAGCGATGGGAACGTTTACAGCGTGGTCTCAGAAGGCTTCCCATGTGTGCGGGGAGGGTCCGCAGAGAGGAAGGGGCAAGAGAAGAATGTGCTGAGTGGCTTTGCCAGGGAGATGGCATTTTTTTTAAGAAAATAAATTGCTCAATTATTATTATTATTTTTTAACTTCAACAGCAGTAGCAGAAGCAGCACTCCAGCGAAGACTCAGCCCGCCCCCCCTCACATCTCCCACCACCCTTCTGCCTCCCCATTCCCCCTCACCCTGCCCAACCACAGCCCCCTGCACAGCTTCACGCCCACCCTCCAGCCCCCTACACACTCACATCACCCCAATATGTTTGCCCCTCCCACGGCTCTGCCTCCTCCACCACCACTGACATCAGGGAGTCTGCAGGTGCCCGGACACCCGGCCGGGAGCACTTACTCAGGTAGGATGGGGAGCCCCTTGCTGGTGACCACACCCGCTGTCTGCTGTCTGTGCAGTCCCTGACAGCGAGGCTGTGTGTACTTACTGTGTTCTGCTTTCTCGTATTCTTGTGACCTTCCTCAAATCCTCTGTGGGTGAGGTTGAGCAAAAATACAGTACTACCCTAGCACAACGCAGCTCAACGGACACTGCCCAAAGAGAATGGGTGGTTTGAAGGGAGGAGGCTTTTCCAACCAGGCATGCTCCCTGCGTGATAGGACACAGATGTTGCGCCGTGTCGTCTGGACGCCCCTGAGAGTGATAAAAGCTTCCCTGGGTCCATGTCTGCCTCACTCCAGGATCTCAGGGTGCATCTTGGATTCCAGGGGGTTGTTTTTGTCTAGTAGGGCCTTCTACCTTCTTCTTGGGAGAAGATGCACTTTTTGTGACAGTATATCCCAGAATTTTAAGGACAGACCTTGTGTAAGATATTGGGTCTTTTTCTCCTTGCCTGTGTTGATCAGGCCAAGTATCCCAATTTTGGGTCCAATGTAGCCATGTTATACCACTAATACAGACAGCTATAAAGCGGTCACTGATCCTTGAAGGGAGCATGAGAAGCCCCGCCATGTTAACGGCTGCCAGTTAGTAGTCACTGTTCTTAATCACTTACATATGCTGATTCCTTCAACCCTCAAAACAAACCCATGTGGTAGGCAATATTATTGCCCCCATCTTAGAGACGAGCAGCCTGACACACAAGTGGGTTATTTGCATTGCCCAGGGTCACTCAGCGGGCAACAGCTCTGGCATTTGGCCTGGAGTTCTGGGAGCTCACCGTATTGATAAACTAGATAAAGAGCAGAGAAACTGGCTTGTGACCAGCCCTTAGTGTCCTCTGCTTCATTGGTGGTCCTCTCTTATCTCAAGACCCAGCTGCATCCCTGCAGCCCCCAGCTGTGTCATCGGCCCTATGTCCCACATGAAGGCACTTGGATGTCCTGTCCTGAAGGAAGTGACCATAACAAGAAAAGGTGTTATCATCTCCCATCTCTTCTTTTCCAGAGCAAGATATCTTGCGGCAGGAGCTGAACACACGTTTTCTGGCCTCGCAGAGTGCTGACCGCGGAGCTTCCCTGGGCCCTCCGCCTTACCTGCGGACCGAGTTCCACCAGCACCAGCACCAGCACCAGCACACGCACCAGCACACACACCAGCACACCTTCACGCCCTTCCCCCACGCCATCCCTCCTGCCGCCATCATGCCGACGCCAGCACCTCCCATGGTGCGTACCCCAGGCAGAAATGTGAGGATAAGTAGAGCACGACTCTTTTCTTCATGCAGCACGGGGGCTGGAGGGGCATTCGGGGCCACAGGAGAGAGAGAGCTGTTCAGGAGGCTTCACTGGCCTTGTCCATCTTTGCTGGAGAGAAGGGACTGTGCCCTACCTCAGGCAGCTCTAACTTTAGGGATCTAAAGGAGGGCCTTTTTTCCAGACAGTTGTATCATGCATTGTGGGTGGATTTTATTCTAGATGCCCTCAAAATAGTCACATCCAGTGTTGGTAGTTAACTTCTTAAAGGGTTGTTTTGTTTTCTTGAGCACCCTGGGGGATGGTCACCAGATATAAAAATGTATCTGTACTTTGCACCAAGTACTAGCACATAAATGCTTACAAAATACTGGGAGTGAGAAAGAGAGAAGGGGAGAGACCTGTCAGGAGGCTTGGATCACACTGTGAACCACCTGCCAGTTTCGATAGTTTCCCTAAACCTACTTTGTTGCAGGTGCTATATTTTTTGCATTTCATAAGACAGTGCCCTAATCTGGTATTGTGCTCTGTCAGCAAGTGGTCAGGGACTGATGTGCCCTGCAGGGACAGAACTCTCCCAGTGCTGTGTGGTACCCTGGCAATGAACATGGTCTTGGACTTGACTGGGGAATAGCATGTGCCCAGAGAACCAGTTAGGAACTTTTTTAAGTTAGGAACTATAATTAATATTGCCATATTAGAATGCTGTATATTCTGAGATAGAGTCCCGTCTCTAACAGTGAGCATTAGAGTATTTTACTTATTTAATTTTTAATAGTTAAGGAAATACTTGATTTTATGGCAATTAACATAGGCATTGGAGGAGTAGATTTGAATTCCATGGTTGTAAGAGGTATTTCTTCCACCTAGCTTTGCTTCCTCTCCCTCCTCTTCCCCTATCTTGTTCTACTTAATTTTTTTAAATGTATTTTTCAGGATTTTAAAATAAATTTTACTTAAAGGAATATTAGAGATGAGGCCCTGCGACCAAAAGTTTTTCCTGTAGCGAATTCTATATCTGTTTTTGGATGAACTATACTTCTCAACAATTATAATTTTAAGAGCCCAATATTTTGAGAAGGAATCTTATGCTGGCCTGTGTGAGCTGTTTCGCAAATAAAATAACTAAATAAATAAAAGTATGGAACTTGGGGTAGTTGCAGCACCAGGATAATGACATTATTTAGAGGGAACAATAATAGTGTACTCTTTCTCAGTTCAAAAGAGAGGCTATAAGACCTGACCCAAGTTGCTTTGTATTTGGGTGTCATACATTTGAGAAGACGCTGAATGTGTAGCTCTTCTGCCAGAGCGAAGGTAAACAGGGAGAGAATTCTCTGGCTAAATCAGACCAAATGCTTGCTTCTCTCTGATTTATCTGGATAATTGCCCGTTTTGTCCAGTGTAGGTGTTTGGTTTGTGCCAGTCTGTAAATACAGACAGAAAGAAAGGCACACTAATATGTCCAGGACTCAAATATACTGTGTGGGTTTTCACTTTGTTTTTTCATTTCTTTTGGCTTCTTGTAAGAGTGTCTCAGAAGCTCAGAATGGCTTCATGTACAGTAAGGGTCTAGTGTCTGACGACAGTTTATCGACAGAAGCTTGTTTAGGGTTACCTCCACTGAAGCAGTGAACAAAAATGCAGATTAAGTAACTAGCTTTTGCTTTGATCCCTTTACAGTTTGACAAATACCCTACAAAAGTTGACCCATTCTACCGGCACAGTGTGAGTTTTATTACCATGCTACACATTTAATGTAACTGCTTTTCCATTTTTGTGCTCTTGCCACAGATCAGTAAATGACTAGCAGCCTTCCTTAATCATCTTTGCAAGAGTTCCCATTGCTCCTCTTCACTTTGGATGCTTGCTCTTGTGGCGTTTTGCTTTTGGTAAAGATGCAGTATCATCTTCTGAATCAAAAGATCATAAGCACTCCGAAGACTTTAATCCAGAGTTGAACTTCACTGGAAGTCAGTTATCTGTCCTGCAAAGTGGTGTGTCTACAGTGGAGTCATTTTAGTTTCAGGAGAGTCTGAAATCATAGGATTTCAGTCATCAATTGAAATGACAGTAACACAAAATTCCTGGAATTCAACTTGAATTATTTCCTCTAAATAGAAAGTTTCTTATCTTTTTGACTCATAACTCTTCAAAAAGTAGATTTTTCATTTGCTGTAGACTAAACGTAGAATTCTCTTCCTCGTGCCTGGTATTGCTTTCCTGAGCTTGTTACAATTGAAAATAAAAATATCGTTTAATCAAAAGAAAGTATTAAAATTGAAATGAATGTTATTTATCCCTTTAAACTCATTATTCTTTATTTAAAAAAAATATTTGCTTTATGCAATTTTAAGAGTATGTTCTGGAACTTAAATTGGTGCCAACCCAAGTTATATATTTGGTTATCAGACAAAAGCTTCTTTTTATACAAAGACCTTGAATATTTTACCATGATATTTTGATTATGGGGTGAATACTGCATCACTTTTATCTGAAAATTTGCAAGTTTCTTTGCTCAATGGTTTATTTATATTTTAAAAATGAAACCAGAAAAAAAGGAAGATTAATAATTGCTTGTAGTAATGTTGAATAACCATACTCAGCTATTCGTGCTTTGATTTTTAGTATTATAATTTCAACAGAAGTGCTGTTTAATAGATCAGCAAATACTGAATTCATTCATATTTTGAACCAGATAATTAGATGCTATATTAGTTAAGAGTGTAGCTGAGAAGTCAGCTAGAAAATATTAGAAATCAATTAAAAATTATTTACTTTGGAGGCATTTGGAATAACACAAGGAAGTCTTCAAAAAGGAATTAGAAAAAGTATATTTAAGTGACTCATGGTCCACCCTGCTCTGCTCAGTGCTGTGATAGAAAAACATTTTTTAAATGGGCATGCAAAATCCAATAGACCCATGTTTCCTCTTTGGGTTTGTTTGTCCCATGAATGTCCCATTCTCATCTTACTCTGCACTTTGCTGATTTAAATTAAGGACCAGTTAACAAGATAATTCTTAGAGAAAGTTTAGCATGCCCAAAAGGCGGCTGGGATTACTTCCTAGGATTAAATGCAGTGCTTTTTTATAGGCATATTTTAGCAAGAGTCCTAGGTTTAAGATGGAGAATAAGCGTGGAGGCCTGAATTTTTGGAAGATTTAGGTTTTATTACTTAGGTGCTTTATGTTTTTAGTCAAGGGGGGGAGTAGTCAGCTATCTGTATATTCTGGGAGGTCAGTAATAGAATAAAGCAAAAGGAAAATGGTAAGAACATCTAATTTTTTATTGTAAACATTAAAGGAAAAATGCCCTCCTGGAGGCAGAGTAATAGAAATTTGAGTGTGTTTTAGAATGGCATGTATTTAATTACTCTGCTTTATACAGCGTACTGTGGGAAAGTTATTTCATATTGTTAGTTATAGCAGATAATATACAAAATACTTAGTCTCCCCTGCTTTGGGGATTAGGAAGTTATAAGGGGAATTAAGATGCAGTGCACTCAAGTATCTAAAACACAATTTTAGACTTAAAAGTACTTTTAAATGAGGGCACTTGGCTTGCAATCACTATTTAAGTGGATTTAGTTCAATATCAATTAGTCTGAAAAACTTTGCTGCATCATTGAAGGGAGCAAAATGAAATAAAGAGCAACAGGAAAAGCACGTGCTTTGAAAAGAGGGTTGTGAAATGTGAATTTCAGTCATTACAGAAAATAGCATAAATGCATTGTTAAGAAAAGCTTTGATTATTATGTTATTTTGATATATTACACAACCATGAGGATGGGGTGTTATGTAAATATCCGTACGGTGGTTTGATCAAAGTAAATGGAACCAGAGCAATAGAATCTCAGAAATACTGTATTTTTAAAAGGAGGGAAAGATGTGTTTGCGTTGTCTTCAGTATTGCTGTCTGTTTCTTTTGGTTGTGTCCTTTATAAGCTGTTGACTCAAGGAATTCATCCCTTCATTCAGAATCATCCTTTCATTGAGTGGTCAGACTTACACGTCAAAAGCTTGGCTTGAGCAGCCTCCAGGGAGCTTGTTCATTAATCAGATGTCGTTCAGAACTGGCCATAAGAATTTGGACTTCGTATGTTAATACAGAAGTGCTTTGAGTCCCTGAAACTCTGGGAAACAAGAGTAACTTAAAACTGGATAGTGATATCCCAGACTTGGGTTCTTTCTATGCTACTGTAATCCATTTTCTAGAAAAATCGGCAGCTCTATTTCAAGTATATACTGAATCATTTTATTTAACTCTTCCACGAATATTTGTCATTATTTTAGATGAGAGAATTAAATTGTCCTCTGGAACTGCCACTTCTAGAACAACCTAATGAAGCAAGGACTGTGAATATGTCCTCATTTATTCCAACTATTAAAAATCTAAAAGTACTAATTGAGTTTTAATGGTACAAAATCCTAGCACTCATAAAGACTTGCTTCTTTTCCTCCTCCCCCCCCCCCTTCCATTAAATTGTCCTCTGGAACTGCCACTTCTAGAACAACCTAATGAAGCAAGGACTGTGAATATGTCCTCATTTATTCCAACTATTAAAAATCTAAAAGTACTAATTGAGTTTTAATGGTACAAAATCCTAGCACTCATAAAGACTTGCTTCTTTTCCTCCCCCCCCCCCCCCTTCTAATTAACTTGTAATTTTCTAGGCATCTTATTTGGCTCGGCATCCCTCCTGTTTTTGATATGCATTAAAGTCTCCAACCATTTAGGATTTCTATCCAATTTAACAATTAATAATTAGAAAAGCTCGATTTCTAATGATGTCCTCATCTGGGACATCATTTGTTGGCTGATTGATTCTGAACTACTTTTAACTTTTTAAGTTAAACATTCATGGCACATCTGTGTGATCATTTCATCATGGCTCCTTGACTAATAGCATCAAACTGAGATTTCTTGGCTTGCTAATGTTGATATCTTTCTCTGGGAAGGGAATTTGAATATATCACTTGCTTCCTACTAAAAAAATGTTTCCTTCTCTCCATCTTTGGCCACAGCTCTTCCACTCCTATCCTCCTGCAGTATCGGGCATCCCCCCTATGATTCCACCCACTGGCCCTTTTGGTTCACTACAAGGAGCGTTTCAACCGAAGGTAAGAAACTTACAATGAAAACACGCGGGCGTTTGATGAGTGGAGTCCCAGGCTAGGCACACTTGGCGGGGGGGGGGGGGGGGGGGG